TAATTGGAGTGCAAACTGAACTGAAGACCCAGCCCCTCGTCATCCTCTTCTTCATCTTTTCACCATGTTTCTGTTTTTGTAGCTGCTGAGCATGAGAAACCCAGAGATGGTGGGTTTGCCACATATGAAACTAAGAGAGGAGGGAGACTCCTGGAGCTGCTCAACCCCTCTGAGGTGTTCGGTGAGTGTGTTGCCAACATCTTACTGAAAAAAATGTCTCTGTATCAAAGAAACTTTGATTTCAAAGAGTCATGTGAGGAGGAGTTCCCGGCTGTTGCTGGGAATGTCTGAGTCCCTTAAACTGTAAATACATAGATATGAAAAAGGGAAGCAATAAATATAAACATGACGTTTGGAGAGTGGAAACCTTTGTTTCCATTGCGTACTGAAAATGTGGCAATGACCTTTCCAGTAGCAAAGGGCAGAAAGTCAAAAACTCCCTTATTTTCCATTGAAAATGAGGATGCAGAACATGTTGTGAAATGTTTGTTTTTCACTGTTACTTTGTGCCTTGTCTGTCTTTTTTTTAATCTCTTATGTTCATTCAAGAGGAAAATGGTGCAACACCGATGTAGAAAGAAGAATCCATAGAATCAGTTTCGGCGACAGCTAAAGTTCAGGTGGTGCATTAATCCAAAGAATAACCCAAAATCTACTTGAATACATAAACCTTTTGCCTTCAAACACATTGTTTTAGTTTACTTGTTTGTTTTATGCTTTGGGATTAATCCAATCTCTTCTCTGACACAGGGGACGAATGGATCTCAGCTCTGGGACACCTGCTTTGCTGTGCAGGCTTACCTCGAGGTAAGACAAAGATGACCTCTAATGCTTACAGTAATTTCAGCCAAAGCACATTCATGCTCATATGTAAAACCCCTCCAACACCCCTCCATCTGTATTTAACAAGACTGCTTAAAGAAGTGCTGCCATTAATTAATGGTTCAATCTTAAATATAAGCAGCCTATCTCTAATAATTAGCTCTGTTCCACAGGCCTTCAAGCTGGCTGTAGTTAACCCATTACTTAATCATCCATCCCTTGACTGAGCTGTCTTTGCTAATTATAGGCCAATCTCCAACCTTAATTTCATATGGAATTCAAATCCTTGAAAGAGTAGTTGTCAAACAGCTAACAGATCATCTGCAGAGGAATGGTTTATTTGAAGAGTTTCAGTCAGGTTTCAGAGTTCATCA